CTGCAGTTGACCACCTGTTGCCAGTTACATAGCGAGGATGGCAGGGTTCAGAGTGACCGCCTGGGGGTTGAGGTCAGCGAAGAGCCAGGGTGCTGCTGGGGCTCCTGGCTGAGGCCGTGGAGAGAGTTCACTGTGATAAAGACAGCAAGGACGGGGGACAGGACAGACAGTCCCCTCTGTCTTAAAGAGTGAGGGTGTTTGGGTGAGACTCGGCGGGAGAGAGCTGAGCCCTCGTGAGGTGCTGACCCCAGCTCCCTGGTGGTGGGAGTTGGCGTCTGCACCAGGTGGGCTCTTGTAGGTATTTAAGCCGTATTGGATTTGATTACGGCGGGTGGGTATCGGAAGAGCGGGTCCTATTTTGTATAACGTTCCCCCCTTTATCGCTGTAGGGATCGTACCTCTTAGCCGCCTCAAATGATTTCGCCAGTAGAATCTGGACAGTGGATGATTACCGGTTACGGGTAAGTCCTGCCCAGGAGGCCAGCGTGGCTCCCAAACTGCACTTGTTTATCACGGCAGAGAACCGGCCTTCGCGGGTCACTCCCAGGGGCTCCCTGACTTCAGGTCTCTCCTGCCGCGGGCTGACCCCGTGCCCTTTCCGCCACGGGAAGGTGATGATTTGGCCCTTGGCGCCGGCTTCTTCAGAGTTCTCGTTTGAGCATATTTGCAGTCTGGCCCCTTGGTGTGTGTTGATGCAGGACTCCGGTGCTCTGCGTCTGGTTCACAGGAATGGGCTTCTGTCAGAGACTGCAGCACCAGCAGTGGGGGGTGGGTGGTAAGGAGGGGTGCCACTTAGCTGAGAGTGGGATGTCGGTGCCCCGATGACTGCACTTCAGACAGCTGCTGACACAGTTCTGCAGACTGATGCTGGAGGACCAAGGGCCGCTGGCGGGGAAAGAGAGGTCATGGGTCCCGTGTTGCCTCGCGGTCTCCTGGCCATCGAGAGAAAAGGAGCCCTGCTGGCCACCGCGTGACTTGACTCCACCAGCTGCTCCGCCGGAGAAAAGTGGATCATCTGCTGCTGTGAAGATTGACAGCCTCTGAAGCAGGGTGCTGGTGGTTGTGCGGGTGTCACTCACCGTGAGTCTGGATCGACTTGGCACTAGAGGCTTTGGTTTCGGTTTGTCCAAGAGGTGGGACCAGAACTGGAGGTTTTACTACATTTGTTGTACTAATGATGGATGTACAGTGAAGTTTGGAGAGGTGGTTTTTTATTCATAGGTTTAAAGGAATTGTCACATCAGCTAATTAAGTAGAGGCAACTGAATGATAAAATGGAAGGTAACTTTCTTTGGACTCTTGGGCAAAGTTCAGGAAAGGCTTTCCACAGTTCAGAACATGAGAGAGGTTCCCCGTTTGACCTCAGCCCGGAGAGCACATGACATTGAAGGACAAGAAGGGACTCAGCCCTGGTCGGCGTCTCCTTAGCTTTTCTGCTCCACGGCTGTTATAGCGAGTGACCAGGACATGGTGCTCGGTGGTCCTTTGAGTGCCGGTTTGAACGTGTTTTCAGCGTGTCCTCGAAGCAGCCCGCAGACGGCGCTGTCTCCCTCAGAGGTCAGCACACAGCTAGCTGCCAGTGTCTCCAGGAGGGCTGATGGGCTGTCACTCCCTCCCTGCAGAAGGGTCTCCTGGAGGACTGGGTTTCCCACGTCAGCTGACTTCATCTCAGAAACTCCATCAACACCTGCTGTTCTCTGGAATCTCGTCTGTGGTTGATGGTGATGTCAACTGTGTGGTCCCAGCAAGTGGAACTCAGGTTGCCTGACCACGTGAGGATCTGATGTATAGAGCGGGAAGCAGGCAGGTAGGGTCTGCCTGCGGGGACGGGGAGAGCTCGGCGCACCTCCACGTTTAGGGGCTCGGCTGCTGTGACTTTGAACTTCCTGTTCGTCTTGTTCCTTTTTAAAGTGGAAGACAGAGCCCAGAAGGAGCACGAAAGAGTCAGAGACACTAAGCGGATAAAGGATTTTAAGTTCGTATGTTCCGCTTACCGCCCGGCTGTTTCAGTGATAAGTGCCCATGGGCGGTCAGGTTCTGGGGCAGGAGGGCACACGGGGCTCTGGGCAGCCCAGCGTGCTGTCTAGAGCGAGGAGGCAGAACAGACTGCTGTAAACAGGCTCATGTTTGAAATAACAGAGTGGCAAAAGCCCCTTCTTCATCCCACAGTCCAGCGCCTCCATTGCAGGGACCCATTCAAGAGACGTCCACCCTCGCATCGCTTGTGACAGTAGAACGGCCACTGTGCTGCCCAAGAAGGTGGCCCTTAAATCATGAGCTCACCGCTTGAGGCTATTTAGGCAACAAGTAATTAAGAAGACACTTAAGGAAGTCCACAACGCAGCGGCAGGGTGGTGGGACCCGCGTGTCGTCATGCGTAGAACCACTTGTGCCTCAGCCTTAAATGACCTGTGGACGAGATCGCAGAAAGAACAGAGTCAAAAAAGTCCACCAGATGGTCTGCCAGAGAAAGTCATAGACGATCCCATTTGAAGCATTCAGAAATGAGCACTTCCATAGCCCGTGTGAGTGAGAGCTTCTTCCTAGTATTTGTAAAATGGGATTTTCTTTTTATAGCAGTAAGCGAGCAGTGCCCGTATTACCTTCTGAATTTTGAGGAGCTTGTTAGTACACAGTTAGACGTTGTGAGAGGTAGCCTGCCCAGCATCCCATCTCTCCTGGTGACTACGCAGCTCAGGTGTCGCACTCCAGTCTCCACGGAGATCGGTCCCAGGCGGGTACCAGAGCCGCAGCATCACCTCGTGTGAAATGGAGCAGCGTTTGGATGGAACCTGTGAACATCCTCGCGTGTGCTTGAAATCGGCCCTGACTGCTCCCTGCTGCGGTGGGAGTGTGAATGTCTGGAGTTGGGGTGCTGGAGAAGAGTAGTGTCTGTCCCCTGAACGGCCAAGAGAGCGAGTCAGAGTGCGGCTAAGGCGCTCCGCAGAGTCAGCCGGGCATCTTGTCAAGGAAAACCAGTCCTTCCTGGTGAAGAAGACATCATGCTGGGAGAAGAGGAGGATCAGACAGAGAGAGGAAGACCTTCAACAAGACGGACTGACCCAGTCGCGGCAGCCACAGACTGCAGCACGTCCACGGAGCATGTCAGAGGTCACGAGGCTGGGGCAGGTTCAGAGCCGCTGTCCGCAGGGTGGCTGTGAGTCAGAGGTGACTGGGCAGCTCTTGTTAGAACAGCCTGGCCTCTGAGGGAGTGCTTCGTCCACCTGCATTTTAAGAAGCCTTTTTTTAAAAAAATTTAAACACTTAACTCTTTTCTATCTGTTAATGCTGACCCTGTGGTCTGGAGGACCTGCTGGACTGAGGGCACTGGAGCCTGAGTGTATTGTTGCTAGGAACTGTTGGGATTCTTCCAGAAGGATTAGCAAAAGGCTTTCACATGGTGGGTGACTCACAAGTCCCACTTGGGCACAGCTAAGTCCTAAAGTCCGTGGAAACGTTTCTGTGAAAGGCAGGGAGCACATGTGGTCCACGGTCCTGTCTCCCCATGGCATTGCTTCTCTGAGTGGAGGGAAGACTGACCACACATTAATACTGACCCACTGGGAGCTGGAGTTGGAACCCACTCACCAGCGACAAGAGATGATATTGGGATCTTTTTAAGGCATTTTTTAAAATAAAAAAGCGTCAGTGGATACTCATGGGTTCTTTGGGATTTTGCAGACATGATAGTTTTGTCTGGGGCTGTGAAGAAGTCTGTGATGACTGGTAAAAGGTCTGACCACCTGGACACCTGCCCCAGCCGGTCCCCAGCCTCCCTGCTCCCATCAGGCTCCAGCTGGGCCATGATGGGCCCAGGCAGCTGACACCTAGGGGTGCCCACCCTGCCCGCGGCCCTGTGAGCCCAGGGAGCCGCCGAGGTTGGCACCCGACAGTTAAGTGACAAAGGGATTTGGACGCTGGGTGTGTGGGGTCTGTGGTGCTGATCTGACATTTCCAAGCTGAGACCTCTGACCGGACCCTGGTAAGTCTTGGAGCTTCACGTACAGGATATGCCTGGTGGGTGGTGGCCAGCACGACCCTCATGGCCTCCTTCCAAGAGAGCCTGGTGGTGCAGGAGGTTCAGTGTTGGACTCCTGACCTGTCAGCAGTTTGAACCCACCAGAGAAGGACGAGGCAGCTGCCTCCCAGATTTCAGCCTCGGGGTCCGCGTGGAGGGCCCCGAGTCAGAGCTGACTTGACAGCCACAGAGGGTGGGGTTCAGGGAGTTTTTTTCTTTTACACATAGTGACACATGAGCTTACAGGAGCCGTCAAGGCAGGTCTTAAGAGCTAATTTCCTAAAGGTCCTCAGAGTCCTCCGATTCCCTCCCGCTTTCTTTTTTCCTTTAGGATAGGAAGTCACGAGTTTTGTTGTCATGTGCTGTCATGTCACCTGCAACTCAGTGACCCTGTGCATAGCAGCTCTGCACCCTGCTCTGTCCTGAGCCAACCTTAGTGTCTCCGACACACCTACCCCCAATACCCTAGTCACTAAGTTAATGCATCTCATCGAGGGTCTTCCTCTCCTGCGCTGCCCCTCCACCCTCCCAGGCATGACGTCCCTCTCCAAGGACTGGTCCTTCCTTGCAGCATATGTCAGACGGGGCTTCAGAATCTTTGCCTCCGAGGAGTTTTGGTGTTAGTTTTATAGATGTTTTCAGTGGTGAAATAGTGCTTGTCTTAATGCCACTCTGTGGGGCAGGTCTGCAGCCGCTCAGAGGGGCTGCTGGTGAGACGCAGCTGCTTGTTCAGACGTGGCGTCTGAGCGTTCAGAAGCCGTCCAGGAGGCTGGCTGTGTCCAGGATCGCGGCTGGCCGACCGCTGTCTCTGAGGGACATGTTCGATCTCCCCTGCAGCAGCGGGGCTGACGTCTCTGCGCTGACCCTGACTGTGCTCTCTCCTAGCATACACTCACGGGCCACAGCGGAAAAGTGCTGTCTGCCAAGTTCCTGCTGGACAACGCACGCATCGTCTCAGGAAGCCACGACCGGACCCTCAAACTCTGGGATCTCCGCAGCAAAGTCTGTAAGGAGACTCTCTGTGCACACACGTCTCCAGGGCGGGGGCTCTGAGGACGGACAGACACACAGACTACACGGTGCTCTGAGGAGGGTATATGTGCTCACATGTACATATATACATGCACACATGTTCAGATGTGCAGTTCTCCGCAGCAGAGTCTGTGAGGAGACTCTTAACTGTACACAGATCCCAACCGCGGTGTCTGTGAGGAGACGGTGTCTAGACAGACACGCCGTACGCCCTGCACCTGTGAGGAGGCTGTGCGCACGTTCGTACATCCCTGCACTTCTCTGAGGAGACTTGCTTCTAGACACCACGTCTCCAGAGCAGAGGCCCTGAGCAGGCTCTGTGTGCACTGGCACTGCAGTTCTCCGCAGCTCGGGCTGCGACGAGAGCGTCTGCACCCACAGATCCCTGCAGCATGTCTGTGAGGGGCTTCCAGGTCTGCTCTGGGGCCTCACAGTGAAGTCTGAGGAGGTGATATGTGTGTCTCCTCACACACAAGCTTTCAGCACAGGGAGAGAGTCCCTCTTTGTCATTGTGTAGTCCCCGTGGGCATGTCCACGTGTCGTTCCCAGAGCCAGCTTGTCATACCTTGTGTCTGTTTCCGTCCAGAGCTCCACTCGGTGGGGCTGAGGCGGCTTCAGTGGTGTTAGTCATCGGGCGCTTGGTGGTCAGCGTGTTGTGCGCGCAGCACAGGGCCCACCGCCTTGGACGTCTGCTTTTCTTTCAGGCATAAAGACGGTCTTTGCGGGGTCTAGTTGCAACGATATTGTCTGCACAGAGCAGTGTGTCATGAGTGGACACTTCGACAAGAAGATCCGGTTCTGGGACATACGGTACAGCCCTCGGCATTGGGGGGACGTAGATGTGGGGCATGGGGGCTGTGTTCTGTGTGGGGATGCGGGGCACAGGGGCTGTGTTATGGGGGAATGTAGGGTGTGCGGGGGTTATGTTGGGGGGATGTGGGGTGCAGGGGCTGTGTTAAATTTCAAAATGACAGGAAGGGGCTTCTGTAAGTGGTCTTCACTGTCAAGGAGACTCCTGAGCTGAACAGTCCCAGGTCAGGTGTGTCGTGTATGTACTGGGCACCTTGGCAGCAGGGACACAGGTGAACAAGAGCTTCCTGTCGATGCGGGAGATGCACTCAGAGACGGTGCGCAGGGGCCCGAGTCCCGCTGCCGTAGTGTGCTCTCAGAGCCCGTCCTGGGCAGGGGAGGCGTCATCCGACACGAAAGCCACTGGAGGCCACTACAGCCAGACCTGCCCTAAGCACAGAGCCAACTAGTGTGGCTGGGGTGGTGGGGTGTGCGGGTGAAGCTGGTGGACAAGGGAGACGCTGCCCACTGGACAGGAGCCTGGCTGGCGGGTGCTGGCCAGGTGCCCTGACAGTGATTCTGACATCCTCCAGTCCTTCCAAGACTCGGTTGTTGTGTTCATAACCGCCATGGGCTCCTTGAAGGGAAGATTCTCGGAGCCGTGTCCCAGCGGTTTTTCTAGGGTCGCGGCTGTGGGGAGCCTCACGACCGACGTTCCTGTGGACAGGGCAGTTCTCAGGACTCGTGCTTCCTTCCTCTCCCAGGTCTGAGAGTATCGTCCGAGAGATGGAGCTGCTGGGAAAGGTGACCGCCCTGGACCTGAACCCCGAGCGCACGGAGCTGCTCACCTGCTCACGTGACGACCTGCTCAAGATCATCGACCTGCGGAAACACGCCGTCAGGCAGTCCTTCAGGTACCCACGGCGCTGCCAGCTCCTGCCCCTGGGTGCCCCTGGTCGCTGCGGGCTGCTGCCCCCTGGATGCTGTAAGCTCGTGACCCCGGATGCTGCGGGCTCCTGCCCCCTGCCGCTGCCGGCTCATGACCCCTGGGTGCCCCTGGTCACTGCTGGCTGCTGCCCCTGGATGCTGTAAGCTCCTGCCCTCTGGCGCTGCCAGCTCCTGCCCCTGGGTGCCCCTGGTCGCTGTGGGCTGCTGCCCCCTGGGTGCTGTAAGCTCGTGACCCCGGATGCTGCGGGCTCCTGCCCGCTGGTGCTGCCGGCTCGTGACCCCTGGCCGCAGGGCCCTTTCCACGAGCTGGCGGCTCATGGGGCCCTTTCTCTTCCAGTGCCCCAGGCTTCAAGTGCAGCTCCGACTGGACCCGGGCCGTGTTCAGGTGAGGAGTGGTGGGTCAGCTTGGGCCGCTCCCAGGTCAGAGTGGGCACTTCCAGTGGGGCGTGGAGCTCCGTGTGCGCGTGGCCAGGAGCGGGCTGTCCACTAGGGGTCACCCTCGTGTCTCCTCCGGAAGGTCTGTTTGTGCAGACGTGTCTGCACCTCAGAGTGGCCGGGCACGTGCTGCTTGGTCCTCGTGGGAACGACCCATTGCCCTGCCTCCATCGTTTTCCGTGAAAACCCAGTGACTCCTCAGGATGAGGGAGCAGGCAGGTGGACAAGGCTGCCCTGTGCTGGGGCTCACACTCCAGAACATTCCATAGTGGTCCCCAGTTCCCGCCCCCCGCAGATCCACAGTGGCTGCTCCCTGTCTGCCTCCCTGTCCTCTCATGGACCCGTGTAACGAGGTCTCCGTCCACAGAGCTTTTCAGCCAGTGGGAAAGTGCCTCACACCCAGAGTCACTTGACAGGGTGAAGTGAAGTGGGCCTAAAACATGGTCAGAAAGAGGCCGTGGGGATGCTGGTCTGAGGGTGACAGTGTCTTCTCTGTCCTCCAGCCCTGATGGGAGCTTCGTGACCGCAGGCTCGGCCGAGGGCTCGCTCTACGTCTGGAACGTGCTCACAGGCAAGGTGGAGAAGATCCTGTCCAAGCAACACAGGTATGTGTGTCCTGCCGACCTCTCCGAGCCCGGGGACACGTCTTGACCCTTCCCGGTGTCCTCAGTGCCCTTGGTGACCAGTCACCCTTTCAGATCATATTCTAGGATTTTCTATTCAGACACCTCTTCGTAAAAGGTCCTTGTAGGGCAGCAGAGGCTGATGGAGGGACACAGCCATCTGTCCATCTGTCTTCTGTTCCTGGCACGTGTGCCCTCTCCCTCACCTGCCCCATGTCCCTCCCTGTCTTCTCGTGAGCTGCCTCAGTCAGGAAAAACCTCGGTTAGCACAGCTCTTTCCCTGACCTGACAGCCCACGGGGTCTTTTGCCCATGGCCGTGTCCAGCCCAGCCAAACCCAACAGCTGGTTAAAACGCAGCCGCTGACAGCCCAGCCTGAGCACTGCCGGCCCCCTGACCTGAGTGCTCCTGCAGGACCCCGGGCTCTGGCCTGTCCGGGTGCCCCGGCCCATTTTGGCTCTGAGGTGAATGCAGAGGCCAGGTTGCTCAGTCGCTGCCCCAGGTGAACTCGATGAGGCCTGGCTGCCCGTGTTGGCTGCAGAGCGGCTTAGAAATGAAGCACAGGCTGCCTCCCAGCTCCCTGGTCGGCCCGTGAGCTACAGGCTGCAGACAGAAAGCCGGGGCGGGCAGGCAGCTGACAGATGCAGGCTCGAGAGCTCAGCCTGCTGCTCTGGTCTCTTCTCTAAAAGCGCGTCCATCAATGCCGTGGCCTGGTCTCCATCCGGCTCGTACGTGGTCAGTGTGGACAAAGGAAGCAGAGCTGTGCTGTGGTCGGAGTACTGACAACATGGAGCCGGAAGCCATGCCTTCTCGGGAGGAGTGGAGTGGACTCTGGTGGCTGTGTCCGTGTGGCATGGCCCAGCGCCCTGCTGTGAGGGGCATGGCCGCTTCCTGAGAACCGCACAGCCTGTGTGGCTGCTGGCACATCCAGAGGGCCAGCTCCAGCCTGTGGCCATCAGGAAACACTACTAGCCTCGAGCCTGCATACCTCACCAGGCGGAGTCCAGGCCCCTGTCACCAGGAGCCCGGCTCTCTGGACCGCTGTGCCAAAACACCTACCAGATGGGGTCCAGCCTGGGCTTCGGTCATCACCAGTTCTGGCCTGGCCGGCCCCTTGGGGTCCCATAAACTGTCTCCAAGCGCTGGGTGCTCGGGAACATAGCACAGGCCAGCTCTGTGTCTCGTCACTGCTGAAACGTCCTTGGGCTTTCAAACTGTTCTTGGGAAAACACATTTTCTTCAGAGCTTCTGACTCCTTTGCCCTCCCCCTCTCCCTCCCTTTCCTCACCCCCTGCCCCCACTGCCATCCTCCAGGCCGGTTTCTTGATGTCGGGCCCTGGTGACGCTCGCTGTGGGTCAAGCATCAGGCTGGTAACTGAAAGGTCAGTGGTGCCAAGGGAGCCAGGTGAGGCTGTCTGTCCTAATAGAACCTCAGAGTCCCTCCGGGCGGCCCTGCTCCTGTCTGTGAGGCCCTGGGAGTCAGACCTGGCTCAGTGGCAGTGACGGGGGGTGGCATCTTGATAGGAAATTAAACTTCAGTCTTTAAACAACAACAAAAAACCTGAAATAAATTGCAGGAGGAGGTGTGGGTCAGCTTTGCCTGAGAAGGCAGGTAAAGAATGTTCTGGGAGGATCTGCAGTTTCCCAGAAGGCAGGGAAGAAGGGGGGTGAAGAATGTTCTGGGAGGATCGGCTGGCCACACCTCGTTCCTTACAAAAGTATCTAGGTCACAGCCTGGTGACGAGGGGTCTCAGGGCCAGGGCTGTCCCCCGAGCGGCTGTCTGCTGCCCCTCCGCCAGGCGGACAGATCACAGCCCTGTGCTCCCTCCAGCCGGGTCTTGACGCGGGGCGGCCGGAGCCAGGCCGGCCTAGAATTTTCTCTCTGCTGTTGTACCTGTGTATAAAATTCTAGGTCTTTGTGTGGGGGTCAAAAGCACCAGTGGTTTTATCACTTTGTAATTTGCACTTTATTTGTGTTCCTTCCACACGCGTGTCTAGAGAGGGGTGAGGCTGAGGCCAAGGCCTTGGCTGCAGAGGGAGCGTCCCAGCCCCCTGCCCCCCAGGCCACCCGCCCGCTGCCCCTCGGAACCATGTGGAGGGAACAACGCTCACAGGCCAGGCCGTGTTTATTTATTGAATTATGTCACCCAGTGAACTGGATTGTAAATAAAAGACAAAGATGCGTTCTCTACTTTGCAAGCACCATGGCTCCTGGTGGTTTGCTGTTGTATTTTCTTGATATCCGTTCATGTGTCAACAGTACTGAGGACTGTGTGGGGTCTCGCTCCGTGCTCATTCCAGCCCCCTCCACGTCCCCTTCCTGTCTCGCATCATTTGTGAGACTGGAGAACTAGGAAGGCTCCTTGTATCTGCCAGGCAGAACCACCATCACCTGGACCTCACTCGGTGATGACTGACAGCCGAGGCTCCAGCCCGACACCTGGTCCTGTCCCTGCCGCCGCCCAGCTTGGACACGTGTCTCCTGCGGCCTCCACGCGCCCTCTTCACCCCCTGGAGGATAGTGAACAAGCAGCCGTGGGCCGTGGCAAGCGGTCCCCAGAAACCCCGAAATGACTTGAGTCTGGGCTGCCCTTCCTTACTTGCCTTTTTTAATACAACATAGATTTTAATGAACAGTGAAGACCGTCCCCCTGGGCCAGGCGGTAGAAGGGCCATCCAGGGACGGCCGTGGCCCCAGCGCAGCCTCCACACCTTGTTCTGACTCCAGGGTGAGCGTGTCGCGCTTGGGCACCGGCGCTCTCACGCACTGGCCTGTTGAGGCTGCGGATGAGGGAGCAGCTCGTGTCGTCCGTGAACTCCACGTGCACCTGCATTCACTGTCCTTGGGAGCCGGCCCTACCCAACACCCTGGTGACTGGCCAGCTGGGTAGGCCGCATACGACTGATGTCCACAATGGCTGCACAGAGGTGGACGGGTGGTACCCTTGCTTTCTACAGGGACACAACCGCACATCAGCCAAGCGCACCAGCGTGAGTCTTTCAGGACCTCCAAGCTCAGAGGCCAACAAGTATTGCAGAGCAGTGAATGAACCCTTCGGTCACTGGGACAGACAAACTATAAGGAAATTGGCACCAACCAAGCGCCCCAGTATCCTCAGGTGGCCTGAGTCCCTCACCTCAAAGGGAAGCACAGCTCATCTGGTGTTAACCCAGAGAGCGGCCCAGTGTGAGCTTCCTGGCTGCTGGCCTGGCAGGGCTGGGTCATCCGCGGTGGAGTGACGAGGTCACTGGCCCTCTCCGTCAGGTTCCCTGGCCAGCTCCCCTGTGCTGTGGTTGGAGCAGGTGGTGAGTCTCCAGGAGCGTCCAGCTGCCGGTGCACTGATCTGACAAGCTGTCCCTGAGCGCTGGGAGGACAGGAGCCTTGGAAAAGGCCATGAGATGCCATCTAGTCCACATCCCAGAATGTGAGGATTTAGATCTTTGTCAATGGACTTTGAGTCCCCTGGGTATTCTCAAGCTAGTGGCCACAACAGGGGGCCCAGACCCCGCCATTGCAAGGCTACCCCACGACCTGGCAGTGTCCCTTGTCCGGTGAGAGGATACCCACTGCACAGCACCTCACCACAGTGCAGTGAGCAGGTTTTGAGATGCTTGTGAATGTTTGATACAGTCCACTGCGTGTGTAGAGATGTGGGGTGAGTGGGTGGGAGCGATGGGCACTCTGAGGAAGTCTGTGGGAATCTCCGGCGTACAACTCATGTGTCCACCCTTTTAACAACCGTGATGTAAGTAAAAAGAGTGCTAAGATGAGGACATGGCCAGTAGTCACCCAAGTGGGGCACCGGGCGCTCAGGGCAGCCGGAATCATCGCCTGAGGGTGGCTCTGCAGAAGCAGTGAGGGCTGCAGGGTGGCCCTGGTAGCACTGAAGGCACAGCCCTCAGATCCAGTAACGACCAGATGTGTCCTACTTCATGGTTAAGTGAGAAGCTGGTCTCGCTCCAGAACCCTGGCCCGTCAGGTGCAAGGAGCAAGACCCAGAAGCACGTGTCCTGACTCCAGGAGAGGGGGGATGTGTGCCGAGACAGCACCTTCTGAACTAACGGGAATGTGGCAGCACGATTGGAGCGAGATCACCAGTACTCGTTACGCTGATGACCACACCCTGGTGTACTGACAGGAGGACTTGACACACTGCCTACCGAAGATCAACACTGGAGCCTTCATATGGATTACATCTCAGTGTCAAGGACAGAAAATTCTGCACCACCGAACCAACAGGCAGCATCATGGCAGAGAAAAGATTGAAACTGCCAAGGACTTCATCCTGCTTGGATCCACACTCAATACCCTTGGTACCAGCAGTCAGGAGACGTACTGCACCGGGAAAGTCTGCGGTCAGGGATCTCTCCAAATTACTGAGGAACAGTGATGGCTGTTTGAGGACTTAGTTGTGCCTGTTTCAGGCTCTGGTCATTTCCAGTCACTTGCTGTGTATGCTACTGAGAGCTTGAAGATGAATAAAGATGATAGAAGAATTGATAGTGTTTAGCCGTGATGGAGGAGAATGCCAAATATCCTGTGGACAAACATGTCCTGGAGAAGGTCCAGCCGGAGTGCCCCTCGGAGACAGAAGATGCAAAGCTTTGTCTCACATACTGTGGCCACGTTGGTGGAAGCTACTCCCTTGGAGAACGACGTCACACTTGGGAAGGATGGTTAAGGACAGGAGGACCCTCAGTCAGGTGGATTGTGCTTGCTTCCACAGCACATATACTAAAGTTGGAACGATGCAGAGGTTAACACGACCCCTGAGCAAGGACGATATGCAAATCCGTGAAGTGTTCAACGAGACTACAGACAGTGACTGCCTCAGTGGGTTCAAGTGTGTCAGAGATCGTGAGAACGGCAGAGGACAGGGCAGGGTGCAGATCTGTTCTCCCAGGGTTTCTGAGTCACAACACATGGAAGTCTAGTAGCCCTTGGAAGCCTAAAGTACCTGCATTTGTGTAGATTGTGTTAAAGCATGAGCACTAGCAAAGCCGCCTTTGGAAAGTGCCTCCAGAAAGCTCTTTAGAATCAAGGCTGGTGCCGCTTTGGCACGTGGTCAGGAAAGACCAGTCTTTGGAAAAAAACCATCGTGCTTGATAAAGTAAAGCTCAACAAGAAAGAGGAAGACCTAGTCTGGGTCAAGAAGCTCAACACAGCGCAGCTCGAACCCCGTTGGGATGGTCCACATACTGTTGTCCTCAGCACCCCAACTGTAGTGAAGGTGGCCGGAAAGAAACATTGGATACATCACTCCCGACTCAAGCAAGCAAAGGACAACCAAGAAAAATGGACAGTGACTCCTACTCCCGACCCTTTAAAGGTCAGGCTATCCAGACTGTAATTATCTTTTTATGCTGTTTGTTTTTTTTTTTAACTGTTGCGCCGTCCCCATTGCTTCCCCATAGATTTAGGTGGCCCTGTATTTCAGGTACTTAGTTAACCTCATCCCAACTCGTGTGAAAATCTTTAAAATCCTTATGACTCAAACCCATTATCAGTATCTCACTGAAACTGATAAATCAATGGTTTCATTTATTAAGAAAAAACAGTGGGGAATGAAAGGACCTGTTATCAGAAACCCAGTTTCTTCTGGTTAACTCCACCCCACCCACTTGAGTGGCTTTTTAACAGACAGACAACCCTGATTGATCAGCTGCCATAAAGTGGAATTATTCTTTTTAAGGGCACAAGGGATTTTTTCCTGCATCTGAAGCAACCAAAAAGATTCAAATAGGTTTCCAAACTGTTTCCCTGAGCTATGGCTAGCCAATTG